TTCATACATTTGGTGTCATTATGATCGGGAAAAGATTATCTTTTCATAAGAAATTTTTTTTTTTTTTTTTTTTAAATTTGGGGGACCCTGAGAACAAGTCTCAGAGGGCCTGTGGACCCTGAAAGGGTTAATAATGATGATAATAACACAATCACTCTAAGGAGCATTAAATATCGTATAAAACATTAATAAAGACATTTTGCTTAATCCATCTAAATACACCCCACAGTAGAATAAATTAACATAAATATGAGATGTGGTATACCTGGTAAAGTGTAAGGTAGAGTTGTTATTGAAAGAATTAAGAGTATGATGGAGAATAGGACAGCAGATGAACAAGGAGGCTTTAGAAAAGGTAGGAGGTGTGTAGACCAGGTGTTTACAGTGAAACATGTAAGTGAACAGTACAGTGGACCCCCGGTTTACGATATTATTTCATTCCAGAAGTATGTTCAGGTGCCATTACTGAACGAATTTGTTCCCATAAGGAATATTGTGAATTAGATTAGTCCATTTCAGACCCCCAAACATACACGTACAAACGCACTTACATAAATACACTTACATAACTGGTCGCATTGGGAGCTGATCGTAAACCGGGGGTCCACTGTATTTAGACAAGGCTAAAGGTTTTTGTGGCATTTATGGATTTGGAAAAGGCGTATGACAGGGTGGATAGGGGGGCAATGTGGCAGATGTTGCAGGTGTATGGTGTAGGAGGTAGGTTACTGAAAGCAGTGAAGAGTTTTTACGAGGATAGCGAGGCTCAAGTTAAAGTGTGTAGGAAAGAGGGAGATTATTTCCCAGTAAAAGTAGGCCTTAGACAAGGATGTGTGATGTCACCATGGTTGTTCAATATATTTATAGATAGGGTTGTAAGAGAAGTAAATGCGAGGGTCTTGGCAAGAGGTGTGGAGTTAAAATTTAAAGAATCACACAAAATGGGAGTTGTCACAGTTGCTCTTTGCTGATGACACTGTGCTCTTGGGTGATTCTGAAGAGAAGTTGCAGAGGTTGGTGGATGAATTTGGTAGGGTGTGTAAAAGAAGAAAATTGAAAGTGAATACAGGAAAGAGTAAGGTTATGAGGATAAAAAGATTATGTGATGAAAGATTGGATATCAGATTGGAGGGAGAGAGTATGGAGGAGATGAATGTATTCAGATATCTGGGAGTGGACATGTCAGTGGATGGGTCTATGAAAGATGAGGTGAATCATAGAATTGATGAGGGGAAAAGGGTGAGCGGTGCACTTAGGAGTCTGTGGAGACAAAGAACTTTGTCCTTGGAAGTAAAGAGGGGAATGTATGAGAGTATAGTTTTACCAACGCTCCTGTATGGGTGCGAAGCATGGGTGATGAATGTTGCAGCGAGGAGAAAGGTGGAGGCAGTGGAGATGTCATGTCTGAGGGCAATGTGTGGTGTGAATATAATGCAGAGAATTCGTAGTTTGGAAGTTAGGAGGTGGTGCGGGATTGCCAAAACTGTTGTCCAGAGGGCTGAGGAAGGGTTGTTGAGGTGGTTCGGAGGGGTTGGGATGGCTGCCCTTCCTGGCTACCCATACTTCCCAACCTGACCTCATAAATAAAACTCGCCTCTCACCCTACATTAAGACTACAAATATTTTAAGGTAATTAATGAGTGTACTATATAGTATGCATTTTATTGCTCTAGGGAGCTTAATGTCATAGTAGGTATAAGCAGCCAGGCAGGATGCCATACCTCCCACATGATTTTCTACAAATAAGTACTTTTCACCTCTCACCCTACATTAAGACTACAAATATTTTAAGGTAAGTAATATGTGTACTGTATATGCATTTTATCGTTCTAGGGAGCTTTTAGTATTGTTGTATACTATGTGTGGGTGGGGTGGCCAGGAGGGCTACCACACCTGACTTCTTAAGAGTAAATACTACTCACCTTTTGCCCTACATTAAGACTACAAATATTTTGAAGTAAATAATGAATGTACTGTGTGTGTATTATACTTTTTAATGCCTAGTTCTATTGCTAACTTAATATATGTTAGTGTAAACTTGTTATCTGGCATTTATACACATTTATAAATGGAAAAAATGGAGTTCTGCTTTCCAGCAGTAGCCTGGAACCTAACCTGCCAAATAAGTGGGGCCCTACTGTACATTAATTAGGTATGCATACTGGACAGAGCCCGTTGTTCATTCGAGTTGTCGGTAAATGAGTACATCACTAAGTGAGGAAAGGTTATAATGTATACAGGAGAAGAGGTTACTAGCCCTTGCTCTTGGCATTTTAAATGCCTCTTACGACATGCATGGTTACACCATTTTAAACCAAAAATGTTCTTTTTTTTTTTTTTTTTTTTTTTTAACTCGTGCACTGCGTGCTGCAGGATTTTTTTTATATGGTACACATTTACCACGTAGACCCATTCTGTCATATCTAGGCCCAGATTTACTGCTCACTGCTTAACTGAGTAAGCCGAGTTCATGGCGCTGTACTACAGGATCAACACTGGCTTCAAAGCCATGATATAACAGGACCAACCCAGAAATGGTTAAGGGTTTTACTGGGGTTTCTTGACATCATTTAATAGAACAGAAGACGTACTACTGAAAGAGATGATTTTGTTTGGTTTCAGGACCAGAAGTAGCTTTAAATTGGGCTCAAAGTAGCCAAAAATATTTAAATTTTGAAGATGTTTCCCCGAGGACAGTTAAAGCCCCTAACAGCCCCTTCCCTCAGTCTTTTATGGTTTTTTAATAGGTCTGATTTATTGTTGGGAAACCATAATCCATGACCAATCATTTCTGATTAGATTTTACTATCTAGAAATAAATCTTCCATTTTTGTGTGATTATGAATTTAAAATGAAAGGCAAGATGTAACAGTGGAGAGGCCTGGAGAAGTGATAAATGACCAAAGGAAATGTTTTGGCACCAGGATATCTACACTTTATTTTGCACTTTAGTTGTAATAGTTAAATTGGCAGTTTCTTGTGCTCAGTCAGTAGAACAGAAGACTTTCTAGCAAAATAACTAAGAATTGGGTTGAATAGAATTAACTTAAAATAAAGTCGGTGAAATCACCGATGTGTAAACTGCACCCAGACTACTAGCTTGTGCCTGCCCAATTCTAAGTTTTAGATCAAATTCTGTAAATAACAAATAAAGGCACAATACCGTGACTGGAACAATACATAAATAACCCACACATAGAAGAGAGGAGCTTATGACGGCATTTCGGTCTGACTTGGACCATTTACAAGTTACACTAATGAAAAGGAGACCAGGATGGGTATATATATATAGGGCGGCAGCGGCGGCGGCGGCGGGTGGTGGTGGAGGTGGAAGGAAGTAGTGGGGAGGTAATAAGAGTAGGAGGGGCCAGTCAAATACTAAGAAAGAGGAGCACTGCAAGAGAGCTAGGTGCCCACAGAGGGTAAGAGCAAGAACACCGAAGGGGGGGGGAACAAATAAATAAAGAAGGAACAAATACACAGGGCAAAAAAGACAACCTAAAGGAGAAAAAGGAAAGAGGAAAGGGGAAGAGGGAGAAGAAGAAAAAAAGGAGGAATCAGGAATCATGGTACAAGTAAGAGTGAATGTACAACAGTGTGATAAAAGTGTATTCTAAGAACACAAACATTTACATTCTTTTTATACAAAGCTTCACACAGTTCTTTCCAGCAGACACTAACTCAGCATTAACTATAGGTTAGGTCACGAGTGTTCTGAAGTTTGCAGCATTTTACAACGTAGTGGAAGAGGAAGGCATCTACAGAGACAAAGCCAGGACTAAGATTCATAAAAGGAAACTTATGTATTAGGGAGGATTCAACCAGACGGCAACTGTTGAAGTTGGAAGTAGGGAAGACAGTTTTAGCAGAAGACCAGTCAATAGGATGGCTGTGATCTCTGACGTGACAGAAAGGAGCATTGTTAGTGTCGGCAAGCCTAACACTATTTTTGTGCTCCCAAAGTCTGTCAGAAAGGGAGCGGCCAGTTTCTCCAAAGTATTGAAGAGGACAGGAGGAGCAAGAAATGAGTAGACACCAGGAGCATCTGTCGAGGGAGGAGAGGTATGAATGAGATTAGTGCGAAGAGTGTTAGTCTGGCAGAAAGTAAGTTTGATGTCTAAGGAACAGAGAGAGTTGTTGAGATTAGAAAGACTGGAGATGTAGGGAAGGCAGAGGACAGAAGAGTTCCCAGGAGTAGAGTTTGGGAGAGAAGAAATTACGTCAAGCACGTGAGAAGGCAGAGTCTATGAAATGGGAAGGGTAGCCAAGATGGGAAAATGAATTATGAAGAATGGAAATTTCTACTACCACCTCCTGCCTATATATACCCATCCTGCTCTCCTTTTCTTTAGTTTGACTTTGTAAATGGTCCAAGTCGGACTGAAACGTCGTCGTAAGCTCCTCTCTTCTATGTGCAGGTTATTTGTGTATCAAATTCTGTACTTTTGGTGTCATTATCTTTAAAAAAAAAAAAAAAACTGTACCATTTCATTTTAAAAAATTCATTTTTGGAAAAAAATAAAAGTAAACACTGGGTGTAATATTAATTACAAGGGTCTAGACAGTGAAAGAATAAGATGCAAGATGAAGAGCCAAGAAATGGTACAAGTAAGAGTGAATGTACAACAGTGTGATAAAAGTGTATTCTAAGAACACAAACATTTACATTCTTTTTATACAAGGCTTCACACAGTTCTTTCCAGCAGACACTAACTCAGCATTAACTATAGTCTTGAGTATTTCTAAATACAACAGCAGCCAACATAAGACCATAAGAAAGGAAGAACACTGCAGCAGGCCTATTGGCCCATACTAGGCAGAAAAACATGCTTCAATAAGGTAAAGTACACAGCATAAAAAAAATTTCCATGCACAAGACAGTATTAGAATTAGTTTCAAGATGAAAAATAAACTTCAAGGTTTCCAGCAGTAAATAATGTCTTAAAACAGTCTAGGGCACTTGTGGAAAAAAAAAAAAAAATGTTGTATTCCTTACAAAA